GCCTACATTACCCAACAAAGAGCTCTCTTAAATAAGCATCCTTTATTGATCACAGAGTTTTAGGAGGTTTTTAATAAAATTTGGCGCTCTGACTTTCAATTCCATTCACGAGTGGAAGATGCAACAAATTATTCAAAAAAAAATTGAGAAAGTCAGAGCCCACTGTTGCACTCTTTTGAACCGTCATCAACAAGCCTACTTTTCCGACAATATGAATCTCTCGGACAACATCAGCAATAATAGTAACTGTACAATGACCATGATGACGAAGACGGATCCCATTTCATTCAGAACCGATTTTTTGGAAGGCTTTCATCGAGTTCATGTTGGCCATTTTGCTTCAATTCCGATTGTGTTGCCATCGAACAACAGCCAACAGTCATCATCATCCAACCACAACAACAACAACAACATTCAAGATGAAGAAACTAATTTAATGGCCTCCGTGGATGGAACTACTTGCTTTCTAGATCAGGATTACCAAGATTGTAAAACTAGGCTCCTCATGCAAAGCTTCTTCCTGCCAAAGGCTTCCATTATCAATATTTCAAATTGTGGAAGGAAGGAAGTACAGAATTTTATCAAAATGAGCAAGAGTATTTCAGTTTTGGACAAGGCCAATGAAGAAGTTGGAGTTGGCAAGAATGAATTTGCTTATTTGAGGTAGGTTGGGAATTACTTTTAAAAGTGCCACTTCTTGCAAACAATTTAACCCTATTTCGAAATACCAACTTTTAAATAACAACGAATACTAACAGTGACTTGTGGAATCAAATGTTCAAACTACCTCAAACGATGCTCAAATATAGTGGCAAGCATGAGAGTTTTTGGAGAGGAGGAATATTCTCCACCTTGTATCGTTTTATTACTCGTGATTACGAACACATTTTTGATGAGAATAGAGATTTTCAATGCATCGATAGTGGGTCAACTCAGGACAGCAAATACTCAGGTGACCTAATAACTTCTTCCTTCCTGTCAGGTGACATTGTTAGTAATAGTACCAACATCAACAAAATGAAACTCGATGGCACCTTCTTCATTGGCTTCAATCATCAAAGAAATAAGGAAATTCGTGAACTCACTCGTCGTATGGTGTCTGCGTTGGCAACTGAGGCATCGACCACGAGAAGTGTCATCCTTCCTCAAACAACATGCGTTGCTTCTGATACCATTGTATCACCCACTTCATCGAAACAGCAAAAGCAATTTCTCGATCAAGCCTTCCAAAGTGGAACCTTACTTCCTTTCTTTGGATCTTGTGAGCGTAATGACACCACTGGAAATCAATATCAAGCCGAAAACGAATTGAGTTTGATGCTTAAATTGTTTCTTGAGACTCAGTATACCTTTTTCCAAAAGCTAGGCTCCAAACCTAAGAAACGTTTTGTTTCTGGTCTTACTTGTGTCGGTCCTCTTGTTACATGCTTTGTGATGCGAAGATATCATACTGTTGTAGAATCATTCGAAAGTGATATCAGCTTGAAGAAGAATAGTAGTAGCAATGTTGAACCAATTTACGTCATGCAACCTTTAGATACATTCAACTTGTCCAACTATGACGACTTGTTGAGATGTGCCAAATATCTCACTGGCGTAAGAAAATTAGGAGAATCTCTTTTTGCGGAAGTGAGAAATGCTCTGAGACATCTTTGTGGCTTGCCTTTGTTGGGTTGCAATGAGAAAAGACATTAAACAGTGCTCAACAACTTTCAAATGAGAACAATCAATCAGATTCAGATCCAAGTCATGACAATGGTTCTTTAGTATCATCCAATCATATGGGAAATGCTCATAACCCTAATGAGAAAGTCAAGAATTCAAATCAACAACATGCCAAATCTTCTTCAAATGCCAGCAAATCCAACGTGTCTGTTAACCAGCAACTGTCTGTATCTCCAAAAGCAAACAGCAACAGACGAGAAGAAAGAACTCCTTCGAGTGGTGAAAAAAGAAAGCAACCACCCACGCCAGCGAATGGCACCTCCAGCATTAGTAGTAATGGAACAGCCACGCAAGAATCCAAGTCACAGTCTAGTTCACAGGTTCAAAAGAAGCAAAAAGTGAACGCCAGCACTGCCATCTCACCAGAGAGAACTTCTAGACCAGCAGCGGAACAAACACCAGGAGAGCTGACGATGATGAACAGCAACAACATCACCAATAATGAGGAGACAAGTCAAAGGTCCACTCAACAAGATTCTGTTTCCAGCAGTGCTAACGATAGTGAACGAATGATTGTGGACAATCATGAAGCTTCAAGTGACCTTGATGAGTAGATAATCTAAGGTAAAATATCATTATTGATTGGACACAATAAACCTTGACACATCTTTCCAAACTGGCTCAATGTTGCTGTTTCTCAATTCTCACAGGCATAGGAAAATTACAAACCTGGGTAAATACTTGGTCCTCTCTGAAATCAATGCGGTCGGTAAGCTATTTCGGGCATTAAAAAAGCCCAACAACAACAACCACGCATCAACTTCGACCATCAACTTCAAACGTTCACTCACTTCTAAAGCGTTGGCAGCCGTAGTCTTCGAGTTGGTACCCACCTCCTGTTTTGTCGGATTGGCAATTTCAAGAACAAAGGAATCGCGGTGTTGTTGTGAACGAATTCAGAATCCGGATTGAATCGATCTTTCTATTTCACATCTAGAAAATTGAGTCAAGTTTGTCAAACTCTCACATCTCTAGAAGAGATTTCCAAAGTTATTCGTTGGAATATACTTTGCTTCTTCCGAATTCTTCTCGCTTTCTTCTCACAAGATGTATCAACCAAATAATAATAATAATAATAACAACCAAAGACCTTCATCATCATTAAAGAGTAGTACGAGTAGTAGTAGCAACACCAGCGGTATGGCCTCATCCAATAATAATATTATTAACAACAACAACAATAGCAATCATCATCACTTACCAATCATCATGATGGGTCATACCAATCCAAATTCCATTCAATCACAACCACAGCAACAACAACCACTTCTCCAAGCAACTCCGAGTGCTCATTCTCTCCTCGATACAACAACTACTTCTCCATTATTTGGCTTTTATCAACAACAATCATCTCTTCCTACAACCTCACAGCTTCAACCATCTCAATCATCACATCAACAAGATCAATTATTTGCTTCCTTTCTTCTCAATCATTACCTCTTGTTGCAACAACAACGAGAAATGCATCAACAACAGCAGTCACAACAAAACGAACTCTCTCCAAATCAACTTCAACAGCAAGCCATGATTAATAACATGATGTTAATGATGTCCATGATGAATCCGATTCCTAACGTTATTTCGCCTTCTCCAAATTTACCCATATTGGATTCACAACACTATTCACAACCGCCCATCCTTCAATCAGTGTCATCCTCTAGTAACACATTTGTCACTAATAATAATAATAATACTCTGTCTTCTCTTCAAAATGGAACCTCTTCCGATGTACCTACAACAGCCATCTCCATTCCTGAACCACTTTATGAATTGTATATAAAACCGATTTTAATGAGTTTGCAGAATTGTGGGTTGTATTCAGGCTCGAATCAACCACAACAACAGCAACAAAAATTGCAAGAAACTCAGCAACATGAAAATCAACTCACTTCAAGCAGTGATCATATCAGCAATAGCGGACTCCTATTGTCACCAGTGAACATGACCAGTAGTGACAATCAACAACAAAATGAACTGACAATTACATCACCAATTTCATTCTCCGTTGATGATTCGAATTTAAGAGCAGATCATAACAATAATCAATCGATGAGCGAAATGAATAATGTAATTTCACAACAAGCATTACTCGAAAGCTTACTTTTGGAAGAAGGCTTGGCCTCAGTTGTGGAATTGTTGGAAGATCAATCAAATATTAACAATAATACTAACTGTAATATTTCAAATTGTGACAAAGATGAAGAAAAGAAACAAGAAGCTCACAAACATTACGATCCAAAGTTAAATAAGAAAGGTCTCAAGAAGAAGCGTAAATATATCAAATCAGGTCTATACAAAAAGACAAGGATGGAAATTTTTATTTTCGAGTGGTGACAGAGCAAGATTAGCTCAAATCAATAATCCATCCAACAAACAATCAGAGGGCGAACTTGGTCACAATGAAGATTTCGGTCCCAATGAACATCAAGGATTTTACATGGAGGATGAAAACAGCTTGATAGGAAGCATTGAATCAAAAACAGTGGTGCATCATCAAGTGGTGGTGGGATTGGATTTGGTCTAAGTGGAAGCAGTTCCTTGATGAATTCATCACAACAAATTCAGTCTGACAAGTCCATGAATCGATGTGGCAGTTTCCACGATTTATTAGGAATTGAGGACAATTTTGATGGTAATGAAAAACATGAATTTTCTAATGGTGCCGCAGCAAGTAGTAGCAACAGCGGAATTGGTGCAGTTAATCCTTTTGCTTCCCCCACTCAGCCTAATGATGAACAGTTACAACAGCTTGGATTCGAACGATATTTTTCAGACCAATTGCTTCACATTGAGAATGGTGATGGCATGTCTGGGGAGGAAACGTCACAACTGAAAATTTTAGTATGGGCTCAATGGCAGCTCTTATCGGATGCAGAAAAGAAGAAATATATTGACCTTTCACTCAATGGTGACATGACAGAGACATCATATATTGCTTCGTCACAACCACAACAATCACAACTACCAATACGTAGAGATTCCAAGAATTCAATGGATGACACAACCACTACAGGAAGTAACATGTTATTGTATCCACAACCTAATGCCACTATTGCATCCACTCTCTCAAACAATAATTATAACAGTAAGAAGAGACCATCTGTAAATGAATATGAGGATAATGATAATGGAGAGCATCAAGATAATGCATCGAAGAGAGCGGATCTTTCAAATCGAGTGAAGAAACCTATCAGTGGTTACAACAGCTTTGTGAAGAGTGTGTTCCCTACGTTTCAAGAACAGTATCCAGATGTGGATAAGAAACAAATTACCAAATTGATAGGTCAAAAGTGGAAGTCAATGAGCGAAGAGGAGAAAAAACCTTACTTGGAAATTGCAAAACAAGCTCAACCAATTGTCAAGAAACCACTCAATGCTTATAATATTTATTGCAAGGAAAAGTATTCACAATTTAAAGCGGAGAATCCCACGCTCCCACCCAATGAGGTGAGTAGAATGGTCGCTCAATCATGGAAGAATGCTAGCAAGCAAGAGAAGCAAACCTATTTTGAAATGGCAGATCAATGGAAGAAGGATCATGGCATGCAGGAAACATCTGCTGCTAATGGTCATGAAGGATCTTCCACCGACGATTTAAAACCAAAAACAAAGAAGAAAAAGACGTAGTATTGAAATAATAAAATAATAATATTATTTAATTACCAATCTTGCTAATAGATCTAATGATCTATGAAAAACCGTAATTTCGTTGAAACAGAATGTTCCTTACAATGAAAGTTATCAATATATTGCAATTCAAAGAAAGAAAGCCTTAAGGTTGGTTGGACTTTTCTTTCAATTTTTGTAATCTCTGCTTCTCAATTTCTTGGAGAATTTCACGATGATTTATCTGAGGTACTGCTCGCATTTCTTCCGTTGGTTGACTTCGTTTGACCACTTCTTCTAGAACTTGGTCTTGTCTCTCCTTATTCGCCATACGTTGTTGGCCTTTAACTGCCATCCATGAAATAATCATGACAATGGCTAAAATTACAAGCGTCAAACGAGCAGGAATTTTCTTTCTATTCGAGGGACGAACTCTAACTTCTCCATACAATTTAATCATTTCATCAATTTGTTCCTTGGCGTAGTGTTTTTCATCCTCAGTAGCTGTAGGGTTCATTAATAACTTCATGAATCGATCGAAACGATCGTGGTCCTTAATCCACCATCTCATCTGTTGTCTGAAAGTAATTTTTTTATATTCTGCCTTCTCATCAATTTGAGCTTGTTCCCAAGCTTTTTAAATTCATTTGGATCCATATTTTCGAAAAATTGCTTTTGGAAATTGTCTCTAATTTGTTCTCTTCTTTGTGCAAATTCTTCTGCTTCCAGCTGCTCTTCACGTTCTTCTCTCATTTTCTCGTAGGCAGCTCTTGAATTTGGTGGTGGGGGTGGAGGATTTGTAACTTGAGAGGATGCTGCTGATGTTTTGGGTGGACTGCTCAGAGAGGAAGATCTACCCAATCCACCCGAAAAGAAAGGCTTTCTATTCGAATGTTGTTGTTTTTGTTCATTGGTTGTATTATCCTTCATCATCATGGATTGATGAAAACAAGAACAAGAAGCGGCAGAAGATTTTATTCGACTTGATTGAAAATTTTGTAACCACCATACGGATCCATATGATGATGATGCGAATGATGAAACATTGCCTGCATGCAACAACGAAGGATGATGAAAAATCGTTCTTGATGATGAAATCATTTTTTTGAAAAACTAATCGGGCCGACCAATTAAAAATTCCCGAATACGTGTTTCAAAAAGTTGTTATAATTATAATCTGAATTGTTACAGAATGAATTGTTGAAAGAATTGATGATGATAACTTCCTAGTATTTATTAAACAACCATAATAGTAAAAAATTAGAGAAAGTTGCTTAATGATTAAAACCATCATCAGCAAGAACATTGAAATAATCATCATCGGTCTTTCTTCAAATTTACAGTGAGTCATTCATTCAAACCCTTAATGATGGCGACGATCATGGGCCACCTGTTGCTGAATGGCCACAATAATTCCAGCTAATGAAGCACATACAATAATCAACACATTAAATCCAAAGAGACCCCAAAAGAAGGAACGAGCCAATTCTCCAAATCTTCTCGCTTCTGGAACCACATTAGTCCTATATTTGAACACAAACAAGTACGGAATACAACTTGCAAAGGGAGTACAAAAGAAGAATAAGAACAAACTCGTAGCAAAGGCAGCAGCAAAGGCATTCCGAGCCTTATTGATTTGTTTGCTCTCATAGTAATCATCGTCTTCATAGGTTTTCGTGGTGAGCGGTGTGGAAGCACTGGAGGCTGCTCCAATATATGGAACCGTAGTGGGTTGGGCATGATAGTGATGATGCTGCCGAGGAGGAGGTTGTTGAGACAAATAGGGTTGTTGCTGAGGAGGTTGTTGAGGTGGGTTAGTGTAGTAGGTGTGAGGTGGAGGAGGTTCTTGGAAGGAAGGAGTTGGATCCATGGTGTTGAGAATGTGATGAAAAAGCAATAGATGAAGAATTGATAATATTAACAATAATATTGAGGGTTGTGTGCTCTAAAAGTGTCACAGATGTAAACCTTTTTCACAGTAAGATGAAAATCAAAAGGTGATAACTACAACAGTCAAAGGAGATTTAGCAGTGAGAGCGACAAAGAATAATTAGTGTGTTTTTTTCACTGCTTGTCGATAGTGAGTGAATGATGGATCCAACACCTCGACACGACAATTTGAGGAAAGAACTCTTATTTGGATAAATGATGAGTTTGGAAAAAAGGCACTCTAGTGCATTGGTCGTATAATGTTTCAATTAATGGATGAAATAGGTTATAATGCTTCTATCTAGACCTTACTTACATCTATTAATTAATTGAAACATTTTCCGATGATGGTCATTTGGATATCATGAATTTCACAGAACATTATCATATTTAATGCCTTTCTTCAATGTAAATACAAATAATAATTTAAATCAGACTAAGAAGAAATCAAAAGGACACACAAGTGTAAACCTCTTGCAATTATTGATATGGAGGATAGCCACCATAAGGAGGTTGTTGTGGTGGATAGCCGCCATAAGGTTGTTGAGGAGGATAACCTCCATAAGGTTGTTGAGGTGGATAGCCACCATAAGGTTGTTGCTGTGGTGGGTAGCCATATCCTTGTTGAGGTGGATATCCGTATGGTTGTTGTTGTTGCTGTTGAGGAAAACCTTGTTGTTGAGGTGGATTTTGACTATCGAGTTTGTGTTTCAAAGAAATTGAATTGTCAGAATGGATTCACTTTTGCTTTCATTGATATTCATTATCACTTACCCAAAATCTTCTGCCAATAGTTCAACAGTTAACAAACCCTTCTTGGAGTAGGTTAATTTCAAATCAACGCGTTCAGGAATTCCTCTCGTAAGTGTTCCCAATGCAATGGTTGCTTTTCCTATGATATCATTTCCTCCAAATCGATCATAATCATAAACTTCAAAAGTGATCGATTCTGTGGCAGCATTCACTGTGGGAGGAATATCAAAGAAGAGAGTTGTGTTCCAGGTTGGATTACAAGTCTTGTTGACATGATCGGTTTTGTGAGTCACTCCTGCCACGGTGGCTTTCACATAGGGATCTATGAGGATGTGAAATGTCATGATCATTCACATCAACAACGTCGGTTGAATCAAGCCAGAGTGTCACGCCAAATATGATCAGTGGGATGATCATTGTTATTTGAATTTCAAAATTATCGAATATATATAATTATTAAAACCTACCTGATGTACCTCCAACGTCCTTTCCTTCGAGATCTCTTGCTGAAATGATGGTAACTTTAAGACGGCCCATGATGATGACTGTTGTGTGATGTGGTTGGTGGTTGTGTGAAATTTCGGAAGTGATAACTTTGATTTTTTTAATGTTGTTATGACTTGCGAACAATTGTTTCACAAACCCTTTTATGTGCAGAAAAGTGGTTGTTCATGAAAAATCCAAAAGTGAACTTAAGAAAGGGTGCTCTTTGGGGGATAGTCGTATCTGCTCTTTTATGAGCCAGGAGCATTAGAACTTGGCAAGTTTCGAAACAAAGGTCGCAGTGTCATTCATTTTGTCTGTCTGCAACGGACCATTCAATATTGAATAATTTTCCTCAAATGACTCAAAAGTTTTCACAGAAAACAGTGCAATTGTAAAAATCGGAACCACCTCGAGTTCTTTTAGTATTTTCTAATTGGAAAAAATGTCTTCTCAACAAGAAGAACGACAACACTCCGAGGAAGAAATTGTGGAGTTACAAGATGAAGAGCAAGTAAAAACAACAACAAGTATTACCAACAAGGAGCAAGAGGAGCTTCATCAGAATGTATCGGAACACAAAGAAGAGCAACCACAACAGGAGGACACTATGGATGATGAAAAACCGAAAATTGTAGAAATTGATATTTCTCAACATGTACACGATTCTAGACTTTCCTTTGATCTCAGATCGGATCTTTCTACGGTTGGTCATGATCCGAGCAAGATTGAATTTAAAGCACCTTTGGCTGGAGCTATTTTGAATTTAATTTATTCGATTGTTTATTTAATATTATCATTGATGGAAATTAAGTGGAAACATGATTTTCTTGAAAAATATGATGATGATCATCATGATAAAATGGATGAAGATCAAGTGGAAGGTTTGACCTTTGTTGGATTATTTTGTTTGATCGTCGGAGCTGTGATTAGCTTGATTGGATCTATGGCTGGAGTGTTAAGTTGTTGTTTGTTGTGGAAGAAGGAACAAGTTATGAAATGGATGAACCGAACTAACAGAGCATTTGTGAATATTTCCTTGTTGATTGCAGCACTTTGGCTTGCCTCGACTATTATTTCTATAATTCCATTTGGAGCGCTCTATCTCATTATGAATTGTACAGTTTCTATTGCTGACTCTAAAACTGTAAATGTGTTGCCAATTTTGGGCATTTTGTTGGGTGGTGTGTTTGTGGTATTCTCAATTCTATTGACAAGAAGAATATGGACCAATAAGGCTCATTTTGGCGATTATGGATTTACCTTTCATTAGGGTCAATCAGAGTCGCTGTGCCAATATTCCAACCATGATTCATTCATTCATTAGCCATTGAATCCTATTCCATTCAACAAAAAATTGAATTCTCTCTAATTATTTATTATTAAATAACAATCCATAAATGTCAAATTTCGAATCAAATCTTTGACAACAACTCGGATCACCATCATTCCACTCAGAAAGGTTAAAGCTTACTCATTCTTGGTGCTGTTTGAGATGACTTTAAAATTTCCAAAGCCACTTTCTGACCAGTCTCCATTGCTCCGTGAATGGTCGCTGGTGAGTGTTGACAGTATGCCTCTCCAGCAAAATAAATTTTCGAATCAATAGGTTGACCCAATACAACACGTGGTTGTTCAATATAATGTCTCTTGGAAGCATCAGTGGTGAGAGCAAAACTATAGGCACCTGCCACATGATGAATATTTTGCCAATTTCGAATATCTCCTCCTAAATATCCGTCATTGTTGTCATTCAAGTGATACGTTTTTTGAATGAATTTTCTGAAATGTTGTTTGATTTCTTCGTCGGTCATGTGAAGAGCATTATCGGCTTTTCTGCTCATACTGAAACCAGTGATAAGATGTCCATATTTTTTGCATTGTTCCTCAGAAGTAGTTGAGAACCAATATTGTGCAATAATTGGATCCTCGTCACCAACGACCACGACATTGACATTTGGCATTTGTTCTGCCCAGAAAGGGTTCTTATATCTTAAAATAATTTTCATACCACCATGCATGTGGAATTGGTTTTGAATGAGATGTTTCTTTTGTGGTGACAAGTCTGGAGTAAATTTGATTTGTCTATTTCTTAATATGGTAAGAGGAACAGCCAAGATTACTTTTTCACATGTAATTTCACCATTATTTAGCTTAATCAAATTTCCTGAATAATCAATGCTATGAACAAAATAATTCAGTTTCACTTGTTTTTCCATATTCACCAATCGGGTCAAATAAGGAATAATTAAATCCATCGTGTTTGCTCCTTCCACATGAAAATTCAATTCACCAATGTTTGTATCTTCTCCACTCAGCTCTTCTTCTTGAGCTCCTTTTGCACTGTGGGTGTTGATACAACTCGAATTCGTTTGAGCCAATACAGAATCAATGAGAGTGTGATATTCTTGTGGAATTTTTCTCCAGTCAAGCCATTCTTTGAGAGACATGTCTTGAGATTTTTTCAATTCTTCATCGCTGACTAACTGCTCGAGAATTTTGATAGTTTTTTGAGCCACAGGATGGTCAATTTCATAAATTCTTCCATCTTTGGTAAGTGAGAATATCCATGAGAAAAATTGTAAAGTGTGAAATTATTTTCGTTTTGAATGAACAAAATGAATTGTTCATCAATAATCGCACCAATAGATGAGGTACTTACTGAGAAGAAAACCCAATCCACAATCCTTTGGATTCGTTGCAGAAAAATTAAAAACAACTTTCAATGGTATTTTCAACTTGTTCACCAACACGTCCCACAAAATACTTCCTTCTCCATGAACAAATTCGCCTATCATGTTCAAGACATGTTAGACATTTACGAGGTCATTTATAAATATTTTGAATTTTTTCACACACAAAAATTGTTGTGCAATTTCCATTTTAGTACAATTTAAAAAATTACATATTTTAACAATAATTTTTCATCACATGATAATCATCCTCTCTGCACTCAGAAAAATAATTTTACATACCTCCGAGTTCAATTCCTCGTTCTCTATTCGAGCAAACTCTTCCTCCAATTCTTTCACTTGCTTCCAAAATCATAAAATCATGTTGATCATTTTCAGCGAGTGTGTTTGCAGCCGTTAATCCAGCTGCTCCTCCTCCAATGATACAAATTTTGTAATGATGACGAGAATGTTTGTGAGAGGACAAAGTTTGTTGCTTGTTCATGAATTTTTTTCGAAAATTCAAAAAACAAATTGATTGTTGACACTCAAGTCAAGGACTCTCTCTGTCATCCATATTTGAAAGAAATTGTCTCAGTTCTCATTCAGTGCATTCAGTGTTGTTGTTGTTGTCGACCTTGAATTGTCATAATTGACAGGAGGAAAACAATGAAATTCAGAAATTACAATAAAAAAATAATGGAACAAAGGAATGCCCTTCATCATCAGAACGATTCGAACAACAACAACAACAACCATCCGAATCATGAAAGAGATTTGGAGAAGCATCATAATCGTATAGAATCAAAAAGGTAGGATTGTAGATGACAAAATCATTCCGATCAGTGGTGATGATCATCAATTCAATTTTCGGAACAATGGGACTCGGAAAATTAATAATACCTCATGAATCAATTAATTTATTAATTAATTTTTTGGATCTAATTTCAATGTTTACTTTTTTGTAAACTCCCTCAAATTTAAATTTAAACCATTCCTGTCTATAATTTTAAAAATTAGGAAACTGATAATAGTAATCCCTCTATTGATTTGGAAAGCCAGCAACATCTTACTCAACAACCATTCATCACCAATGATGATGAGCAAAGCAATTTAGACTTTTACGAAAGCTCATTCTCAATATTTACTCCATTGAAAGAGGAAGAGGCTCCCAACAGTCATTCTAACATTCATTCATCAACAAATACATATTCCTCAAAACGAACCATTCAATCTTTTATATCCTCACTTTTCAGTCATTCCATTACATGGCTTATTATTGTTTCAATTTTAACTGTTTTACTCTGGCAATTGCCTTCTGATGTTGGAAATTATATTATTTATCCATTTACAATATTTGGAACGTTTTGGCATGAATTGGGACATGCCACAACGGCCCTACTTTGTGGAAATACTCTCGAGTTTATCAAAATTGAAAGCAATGGAAGTGGATTAACAGTGTATCAAGATGTGACTCAAAACACTTTTTGCAATGCCTTAATAAGTGTGAATGGACCATTGGGACCCACGTTTTTTGGATGTCTCATTATTTGTTTGAGTGTTGCATTTGTGAAACATGAATTATTTTCGAGAGTGTTGTTGTCCACCATTGCCACCATTGTGTTGATAGTGACCGCACTGTTCATTCGAAAATCAATATTTGGAATGGTTTTTCTTCCAATAGTGTCTCTTGTGTTGTATGGAATAGCACTCAAAGCACCCAAAGTTTTGGTGACCTTCTCTTTGCAATTCATTGGTGTACAAATGGCCATTTCCATGTATGAAAATTTCATGTACTTGTTCTCCAAGATGAATGGAAAATCTGATACTGGATCTGTGGAAGTTCTCTTTCGTGGAGTGATCCCTTATTGGCTGGTAGCGATTTTAATTATTGTGATTAATGTGACATGCATGACATTGAGCTTGTGGTTTGTCATTCGACATTCTTTGAGAGTTCGTCAATCATCATCCTCTGATGAGGCAACAGTAGTGGTGAACCAACAACGGTGACACCACTCAATATCTTATTGTGCATGCTTCATCATCCACTACTACAGTGATTATATAAATGACAATATATGAAGCATGAATTGCCAATAAGTATTAAAAACGAATTGAGAAACCCATGTCGCCTACCTAATTGCATTCATACGCACTCGAAAGGACCAGGGTTCCCCACATTCTTTTGGGATGGTTATAACATTGGCTAGGTAGTGATCTTTCTATTTGTGTGTTCTGTATAAAGTAACTGTTTATTAATTAATAGGAAGCATTAAACCTACACCACAACTTGGCAGATATGCCAAAATTTCTAAACCAGGAAATTTAACAATTTAAGGCGCCCACAACAATAAACAACAACAAATATCAAGGGAAGAATCTGTGGAATAATTTCTACAGCTCCCAATGAAACACTTGTGAATCACGTGGTTGATGCATAAATCCCTGTGAATAAAATAAAGGCCAACCATCATCGTCATGACCACCATTACATTGAAATTGTGAATTATATGATATGGTTGAATATTGTTGTGAATTACTGTTGATTGTTTGTTGTTGTGAATTGTTATCAATAGTTTGTAGTTGTGAATTATGACTTGTTGGTGATTCTGAAATATTATTAGCTTGGCTTTGATGATATGTGTTGGTATGTTGTTGTAAAGAATTTCTAATTGTTGTACGTTGCTGTTGTGAATGATTTTGTTGTGTCTCAGTTGACCTCACAGTGTATGGTATGAATCGACAGGAACGAGCAAATGATGTTTCACTTAACACTCTTCCTGATGTTGTTACTCGAGCCGTTCTTGGTTGAGAAAGTATTATCAATCGATCGTCAAACATATCCATACTATGATCTTGGTGTGTACTTAAGTTGGTATGAGTGGACATGTTATCTTCCTCTGGCAATAAATTTCCTACAGCTACTCCTGCTTGGATGGATTGAAGACGAATATGTTGCTGAGACGTTGGGGCAAATTCTGTGAAATTTGAAAGTACTTGTTGCTCTACAAATAATCCAATCGCTTGCCTTACTTTTGGGTTAGTGAACACATAGATGACACCAGCTAAGCCTGGGCTATTGGGTGCTATATCATTATATTCTAAATAATTCTTTGAGACGAGAAATTCCAAAATATTTTGCAAATTTTGAGTGGTCAACCAACGGTTGGAACTTGTACCAATGTTGACCGTTTCAAATGCATCACCGATATGGAGTGCATTGTACGCTCTAAATAAATAGAGAATGGCATTGATGCATTCTTCATTGTCAAATCTTCGTTCATCTTGCTGTCTTCTTTTAATTTCTGATCTAATATTCGTCAATGCTTGGGCGTAAGTTGCAACCTTTGGCCGGGAAGTACGATCTTCTGTATTAATGTCTTTCACTGTATCCTTGTAAATGGAAAAATATCTGGAATTGTTGTTGTTAAGTTCATGATACCACAAATCAATGTCATTCAATATAATTTTCAAATAAGCTTCTCGATCCTTTCGATTGGCAATGGTATCCAAGTTGAAGTATGAAAATCCACTTTCAACCTTTTCATTGTCCAATTCAATTGAACCAAAATTTTCAACCCATCGTTTCAGTGCATCTGGTGAGTCGATCAGGGTATGTGTTCCATTTTGTATCGATGTTAATAATCGATCTGAAAATCCCCACTTACTTCTCTCATCTTGGCTAAATTCGAATAATTTTCTGGCAGCCATCCTACTTAATTGTGGATGCAATAAAGCGCTAGCATAGGTAAAGGAATAATCTTCATAATCACCCATAATCTTTTCCAATTCTTTCACACCCTCCCCTCGAGCTCTATTGAATAGAGTATGGTCGACGTTGTCTGGTGCTTGTAATTGTTCAAGACGTATTTTCCAAGAGTTGATATATTCCAATAAAAACTCCATAGTATTATTAGTTCTCAATTCTTTAAAAGGTGGCTCTAAAAATTGTTCATAAAATATTTTGTTGACTAGTAGGTCTTCTAAAAAATCCTCATTCTCAAGTATATCCAACATATCGGACCAAGTTGCTTGAATGTTCTCATCTCGTTTGTCAATACCCCATTCAATCGCTGCTCTATAAATTGGTTCTAAATGATCTAAAATAAATACAGCAGCACGTGACACGCTTTGCCATCGAGTGGACACTGGTAAGGGAGGCTTCATTACATCATTAAAATTATTAAGGTCATCATCAATAATAATAGTACCATCTTGTGAATTAAAATAATTTTCAACAAATTGAAAATCGAATTTCAAAATAGTCACCAACCAGCGTAACGATTTCCAATCCGATCGTAGCTTTCGAATCACCCTTCCAACATGTCTTTCAAAGTCCTTATAGCATGTAATAAAGTGTTTGTATACCAAATTCAAATTATGGCCACAACAAGTAATCAGTGTTACGTTGAGCATGGTTGGCTTGGCAACTGCAATCACATTCGCCCCATTATCGGACATCATAAAGTCAACACGACGGCCATTCCATCCACTCTCAGCTTGTTTCACAGTTTCAAATAAGGTCTGTGCTGTTTGATTTAACATGGGTTGAATTTTTGAGCAAATGGTTGTCCTTTTGTACTTGAGTTTCAATTGACGCTCAAGTTGATACATTTTACGAGTGTCTTCTTGACAATGTAGCTGTTTTCTGAGCAACATGGTGTATTGTTCTGAAATTATTTCCAATTCCTCTTCATTCAAATGTTCAATCATGTTATAAAATATAGACACAAAACCATCACTTTCATCAATCATACGAGTAATTTTCCCTGGAGCATGTCGTAATTTATCATTAATAATTTCATCTATGGCTCGGGAAATGGCTTTCATGTGTCTTGAAAGACAGCTATCCGATGGCACATCTAATATCTTTTTTCCAAAGAATACGTGTTGGAAAGCATTATTACAAATTTCGAGTTTTCGGATTGGTATGTGAGTTTCCTTGAGTGCTCGAAATAAATTCAAAATGTAGTGGTATTCGGTGCGATTATTTTTTTGCGAAGTGTAGCTGCAACCACATTTATGCCTTGGATGTCCATTCGTCGAGATTGCTCTTCGATTGGTAATAACACATCTTGAGTAGAAACTGTCCTTGAATTAATTTCTCGAGAGGAGTGTTGAAGAAGGTTATGACGGACCCATTTAGAATTCTTGTTTTGGTTAACTCACTCATGTGTGAGATAAGATGAGTCACAATACGATCCCTGCGATCTGACTTGTATCCACATAAACAAGTCAAAGAAAGATCTGTGCGAGCTTTAAGTGCGTTTACGAGTGATCGATTTCTCAAATTTCCTACATACTGCGCAGATGGCATAATAGTGTTCAATATTTTTGTTTGCTAAAGCAACAACATTTAACGTACTTCATTCGATACCAACCTCACTCTGGATATAGTAGTCTTCTATTCCTGACGTCAACACTGTTGTTCCTTTCAGAGTTTTGGACTTAAACATCGTATTTGGTTGTCAGATCTGCCAGTTTGTGGGGTACCTTGGAAAGGACGCACTTGTGAATACCACAAGAATGTATACACCACACCAGAAATCCAAATATGGGTGATTGACACAACCATTAATGAGCACAGTATCGGAGAAACCATTCTTCCATTTGTGTTCTTCGACGACAGAATGTGTGCTGCATTATGATCAAACACCACAAGATATATACCTCTCTCGAGCATACTCATTGGCCGGTGATGTGTTGTTGTCTTTACGACACGATCAGACAAACCTCATCTACGATTCGATTCGTCAACATTGATCGATCGATTGCATTCGAAGAAATTGAATTCAAATGGATCATGCAAACAAGAACTCTTCAATGTTCGGTCATTCCAAACAGAGTGGTGTTATCTCTGTCATAATTCGTTTAATCCAATCACGGGCAAACCTAAAAAGCCGAACAGAAAAAAGAGACACTTACACACTGTTTGCAAAAAGAGAAGCTTGGTTTCGGCCCTGAACTTGTCGATTGATCGCTTATTGACAGTTGGCTTTTCATGAAAGAGAAGTATCTTACAATACCGAAACCTATATTAAAACAAGCAAAGACTGACTGTTGTAGTAGCGGTATTCACTTGGGTTGTTTCAACTGCCAAACGTTACTCCTCTTTGTTGTTTTGAAATTCTAATTTTCAATTCGCCAAAACAGACAAAAAACAACAAAAAGAAGAAGAAAATATCAAATCTCTCAATTGATTGGTGATCATCAACAACAACAACAGTTCTTGTGCCATGGTGTTGATTACGTCTTGTGCTTGCAACACTGCTGAATGTCGGAATCAGCAAAATCAAAGCCTTCCTTCCAACAACAACAACAACCATCCACAACAACAATCCCAACAACAACACCAGATAGGCTCTTCTTCGACTTGCTCTTCATTCACAACGGTACAGAAACAGCAACAAGAAAGGTCGCGACCCACAGAAGAGAAAGAATTTGAAGGAGCAGACTCTTCGTCATCATTAAATCCAATCCTTCCGCCATCATCTTCTTTGCCATCATCAACATCACAATGCCTCAACCATCCTCAAACTGAAACGATTTATTCATCATCATCATCGCCTCCATCCACTTCATCTTCTCCTTCAAACAGTCCACCTTCCATGAAAACCACCATCGGAACCACCAACAATACCAATACCACCCCCTCTGATGTTCTTTTAAAACAACTGCTACATAATCAAAAGATGCAGGCTCAAATAGGCTCTAAATTATCATTCCTTCCGCTTCTCTTTGGTTTGACCTTTTGTTGGGAGAGAGGTCCTCTTTTGTTTTTTATGTGCACTGTGGGAGAGTTGACGTTTCATTTCGCCTTGAATTCTCGCATGCGAAAACATGTCAAGTCTATCAAAAGTTTTGTACAATATAATTCTTTAAGATTAGTGGTGGTTGTTATATTGCAGTGGATATTGCAACTTTATTACGGTCATTCTGTTCCACTGCATGTTTTTCATACTTACAAGATTTTAATATCTGCGAATGTGTTTTACAATAATTTAAGGTGGTTTTATGTTAATACGATTTTACTTTTGGGTTCTAACTTGATTGGAATGTACGTGGCCTTCCTAACAGAACGTGACAAGATGACAGAAGAGCAAACGCATGCCTTTTACCAGAGACTTGTCGAAGTATTTATTTTACAATACTCGGTGGTCGTTGGGTCCTATCTATTTTCTAGTGTCATGTCAAGTAAGACCGACGAAAGTACTCAACACCTAGTTGAGGTGGAGCGAGAACGTGTGAAAAACAGTGAGAAAACGAAATTCATTGCCAATTTGAGTCATGAAGCGAGAAATCCATTGCATTGCATTATGGGAAGTTTACAAGTGTTGAATCATCATTTTGAGGGAGAGAAGTGTTTGAATGGATGTAAACATTGTTTTTTGAATAATAGTGCCATCAATGAAATCATTGAAGATATTAAGGAAAATGCAACATTATTACTGCACATTTTATCATCCTCATTGCAAATGACCTCACTTGAGATGGGAAAGATCAAATTGAAACATGAACCATTCAATTTGAAATTCTTGTTAGATTCATTGATTGGTGTTTTTTCACAATTGGCTCATGAAAAACAAATTTCATTGCATTGTTTTTTCAATGTCTCAAAAGTTCCACAACTGTTGAAAGGTGATTCTGTTCGATTGAGTCAAATCATTATGAACATCATCTCGAATGCCATCAAATACACCAAGAAGGGTTACGTCAGAGTTAACTGTGATTTGGCAAATGACGAAGACTTGAAAAGTTTTGACAACCATGAAATAATGATTGACGAGCATAATGAAAACATGATACCTCAGGATCAAAAGATCTTTGTGAAACTTGAATTTATTGACACTGGTTGTGGTATTTCTCAAGAACAAATTCAGAAAATTTTTCAACCTTATCATATCATTGATGAACATCAACAAAATGAAGATTTCTCCCTGGGATTTGAGCAATACTTTAACCATTCAGAGAATATGAACAAGTTAAGCGATGGTGGAAGCAGCTTGATTAACACCAATAGAAATGGGCTTGGATTGAGTATTACAAAATTACTGATCAACAAAATGAATGGTCACATCAAGGTGAGCAGTACACTTAACGTTGGAACCAACGTTACAATTCTTCTGCCTCTCGAAAACACTCTCAATGACAGCTCAGAAGTCATTTCTGAAATATTACGAGGAGATGATGTAAAAGATATTCACGTGTTGGTGGTGGACCAAGACGAATGTTTCCAAACTGTTTTACAAAGTTATTTGAAACTTTTCACAAAGGTTCGAAAAATTGAATGCCGAACCTCGGTGGAATCTCTTGAAACTCAGCCATTGCCAGGTGGTAACATGGTGAAGGTTATTTTTGTTCCTGAGGGTGACTATTCTCGAGTGACACAATTATTTTCGAACGGAACCAAGGAGAATGATTCTGTCATCATTACCCCAACGATTTTCAAGGGGTCTCAAAGATCCTATCCCCATCTGAAATATCTCTCCAAGCCTGTGAAATTTTCTGAGATTGTAGATGTGTTGTCGAATGACAAGATGTTCTTGAAGGAGAACAATGTCACAAAGCAACCTCTAAAGGACAATCATGTGTTGGCTCCATCAAACACGAGCTTTATGTTACCAACCAAAGACATTACGACTACATCTCCTCTTTCTTTTCAAATCTCACCAAGATTACACGACCAAGCCGCTCAACACGACACCGCTACTACTTGTGTGCGGACATTTGATTTCGCGTCGATTTCTGTGCTTATTGCAGATGATAATGCAGTGAATCGAAAAGTATTGATGAAAATGTTGCAAATCATTGGATTCAAAGATATTGACACTTCCAATGATGGAATGGAATGTTTTGAAAAGTTCAAACAAAAAGCATATCAACTCGTCTTGTTGGATTGTTACATGCCCATTCTGAGTGGACGAGAAGCGTGTGAAATGATTCGAAATTTAGAGAAACAAGGCAATTCTATCGATAAGGAATACCATCACAAGCGAGTGCCCATTATTGCCATCACAGCAAATACATGGGAACCAAGAGACACCTTGCTCTCACAAGGTTTTGATGATGTTGTTTACAAACCAGTGATTTTGGAACAATTTCGACAACTCTTACTGAAATATCTGGACCGTCAAGAATTCACAACAGCCAGCACTAAAACCAATGGCAACGACATATCCACACAGGAGAAATAAACCTTCACTGGTATACACAAACCTCTCATTGAGTCTCGTTCTTTATTTCACTAGTTAAATACCTGAATTTACTTCATCAAGACATCTTTTCTCAAACTTGACAAATATCTCAATTTACCTGAATTTACTTCATCAAGACTTGTCTGGCCTTATTTTGATCATTCGAGAAACCAAATTTGCTCACCACAGTCTCAGCGTTTTGCATACGATCATAGATTTGACCAGCAATCAATTCCAAAGCCTTCATCTTATCATTATCAAATCCAAAGCAAGAGAGAATATTGGCAGCATCGGAGCAAGACATGCTAGCCACATTATTGGTCGATTTCAGTTGAGTCAAAGCCTTAATCTTATCATTATCAAAACCAAAGGCATTCAAGATGGAAACAATCTCTTGAGCATAGACTGGTCCGTGTTGAGAGGAAGAATAAGTCTGAACAGCCTTCACCTTATCACTATCAAAGGAAGCTCCTTGGACTGCTGCAAGAATTTGCTTTCCCAAATTGGAGGAACCTCCCATCATGGTACTGGTGGTAGTGGTCATAGTGGTCATATGGACCTGAGGTTGTGGTTGGTATTGTGGTTGTTGAGGAGGCATGTAGGTGTTGTTGTTGTACATCATGGTGGATGGTTGCGAAGGTGGTGGAACAGTCATTCCCACATTCATTCCCATCATGGGCATTCCCATATTCATATTCACTCCCATTCCGCCATAAGTGGTATCAAAACCAACACTCATGCCAATTCCTGGTTGTTGTTGTGGTGGTTGCATGCTAAATCCCATATTCATTTGTGGAGGTTGATTGGGTTGTTGTTGTTGTCCATTAAAGCCAAAACCGAAATTCATTTTCTCAAGAATTTTCTTGGGTGGTAATGATGATGATCCAGATAACAGCAGAAGGAAACGATCCAAAGCGATCTTTAATTGTTTTTTTGTTTGCAGTAATATTCGAAACTCACAACAACCCAATCAAACGGAGAATGTCCTCTTTTGAATTGGCGTTCAAAGATTGTAACATGCAGTAAAAGAGATTTTCATTGGTTGCGGAGGTTGCACAAGGAAGAGCCAAAGTCGCGTGTAACAGGCCAAAAACTTGTCTGAACTTTTTTCCAATCGTATGACAACCAAATGCCATAATGGATGGTAAAATTTCAACCAATCTACATTGATGACGAGGTGGTGTTAACATGTCCAATGGGAGTCCACTCACTCGAAAGAATCTTCTTCCAGATTCATTCGAATTTGATAATTTTCGCAATCTTCTTCTTGTTGGCCTTACTACTAGATCATTAAGGTATCAAAAAAAAGAGATGAAATCGCAAACAGAACAGAGAGATGACCTCTGTCCATCCAGGAACACCCATCATCCTTTTTTAGAAGAATTTCGCTCCTACATGTCTTTTAAAAGCAAGCGCCAAAAAAAAATGGGAAATCAACTGGCTCATCGTTTCTCCTCATCTCGGAATGAGAGTGGTGCCGTTGATGGCAACACTACTACCACTGGTTCTCATCAGCAGCAGCAGCAGCAGCGTGTGGATGCGGCCATATATAGTTCTTCTTCCTCCTCTCCTTCTTCTCATCATCTCTTTGGAATGAGGATCATTTCGGAATCCAACCACACTCAGGAGAATGCAGCAGACTTTCTCAAGTTACGGAAACGGAGTAACAGTACAAATTCAAATTCATACCGAAAGAATACGAGTAACAACAAACCATCAACAACGACAACACCATCGACGCCATCCTCTCGGAATAATGCTGGAAACCAGGAGAATGGATTGTTGTTGAATAATAATAACCCGAAAGTCATTGTGGAAGAGCCGAGCGGAAATACCCAATCATCAACTAGTGTTGCATCGAGTCAATCAGTGGGCATATTACCTCCTTACCGTGGTCATCACCGAAAGACTACTAGCCAACCACCACCTTTATCACTACTTTTGAGTACGACGAATACTTCCTCTCCACAAAACCATAATTATTTATTGTACAATTATACGCTGGCTTCATCGGCTCCTGCTAGTCCGATACTGAATAATTATTCCCTGTCACCAATTAGTAATAATGGAGGAGCCATGTCGACAACATCGTCACCTTCGAGTAGAGATTCAAATTTCGTTTCTTCAAGTGCATTTAGTAATGCAGGATATGATTCACACAGTGCTGGTGACAATAATGGACATTCATTCTCAACTATATTCACACCACAACAACGAGTGGTCCATGAGAAACTAAGACAAATTTTTCCTTCCATGAAAAACGTTCCCGATTATTTTCTTTCATACTTTTCGATTGTTCTTTCAGATGAAGTAGCATTGCGAGACACGATTTTTTCAAGTGGAAATGATATTTCATTCTATTTAGAGATGCAATCAAAAATTGAGGACTTGTTTTTGAACGAAGAAGAAGAAAAAAACTATGGCAAGTCACCAGTTGGAGCTCAAAATTTGGTTTCCACACCTTCCTCTTCCTACACAAAATCGCCAATCATGCACAATTCTCATCATCAACAAAGCAGTATGGACAGTAATAGTTGGGGAATGCAAACGACTGAAGATGGTGATGTGAGCTATTCCAATAATTATTCAATGGGCTATCTTACCAATTCTGAGGACTTTAATGAAAATATTACAGCAGTTGGAGATATTGCCCATTTAGGAAATAGTGAAGTTTCATCCTCAATTATTAATTATCAGAGAGATTTTTTAAATCCTTTTCACATTATGGATCGAACGGAATTACCAATTCGATTTCTCATTTTACCTCGAATTTTAAAGAATGCCTTTTATGCAAAGCACGAAGTTGCGCAAATGGTATCACCAATATTTTCTAACAGAAATAGTTTGCATTTTAGAGATGCATTTATACAATCGAACGAGTTTGTGATATTTGCTGTGGTTGGATTTTGGGTCCTAGAATTTTTACCTTCCTCTAGCATTATCGTTCCAAAATTAATTTATGCTTCCTCCGAGCTCTTTTCAAATATTCAAAGCATTCCTGTGGTTGCAACCATCAATAATTCTGATGGTTCGGCCATGAATGTTGTTGCAAATACCATCATTCGATGGAATACTGGAAAGAAAAAATCCAGATCTAAGTTATATGAATTTTGTTGACGATTTGTTGGAATCTCTTTCTGTAAATTTCAAGTGGAAAAACAATCCTACACTGATGAATTTTAGAAATCAAATCTACAACCTAGAATGGCAGATTCCTAGCCACTATAATTTATTGAAAATTCCTACGTTTACCAACTCGTCTGTCGTTAGAATGAAAAATTTGGAAGATTTTGAAATGGTCATTCCAAAACTAATGCTCACAATGAGCAATGAGATGATTATTTCAAAAGGAACTTGTGATTATTTGTCATGTATTCAAAAATCATTTAGCGAAGATTATTTCATTCTGAGTACAATTAGGTCTGCATTAGTCTTGAAGGAGTTTGTAATTCAGTAATTCTGAATCCTTGCTGGTCGATAAAAATGTAAACTATTAAGCTCAGCCGAAAAATCGAGATGTGAAATGTGTCTAGCTGAATTCGCGAGTTTGTTGTCTTTTCCATGAATAGGATACATCAATCATTTTTTGTCTTTTTCCTCACGATTACTGCTCGTGTTTGTGTGTGACTGTTTCCTGTTTTTAGAGTTTTGAATGTTTGAAGCATCTGATTTGGGGTGATTTTTTCGTTTTTGACCCTTTTTTCTCTTTTGGAGCTCGTTATTTGATCTGTTCGTTTGTTCTGAAGGGGTAGAGGATGTATTCGGTGATTTCTGTGTTTGTCTGAAATTCAATTTCTTTTTTTGCTGATTAGTTGACCAAGAGTATTCGCTATTGTCTTGCGTGAATTTCTTTTGAAATGTAGATCGAGACTTGTTGTTGTGATGAAATTTGTTCTGCATGAAATTACGTTTTTGTGGTTTCAAGTCCTTTCTAGATTCAGGCATTTCAAAAAGCATACTTGCCAGAGTGCTGTATTTCCACTCTCCTAGAGTTGTTTTGCGAAATGTTTTCTCATCTTCTTGGTCAGAAATGACTATATTATTCGAATTAACATATTTGCTTTCATCATGTTCATGTGGTTGACAATGACACTTCTCAATGATCGAGCAATCTTGTTGATCCATAAATGTGTTAAATGGAAGAGATAAATTTGGAGCTACTTGAATATTGAGGGGATTTTTGAGAATGGATCCTACTTTGGTATTGCAATTTTTACAATATAATCTTAATAATTTTCCCGCATCTCGTTCTCGTTTGGTGGGATCTTTCATTTGAGATAGTTCAGCTTCTTCAATCTTTTTACAAATAAATTCTTGTTCTAGTGGTGACGTATCAATGGAACATAATGTTGGAATGATGGCATTTTCTTCCTCTTGTTGTTCATTGCCGTCTTCATCCTCTTGTTCGTCTTTCATTTGCGAATCGTTTCTAGTATTCACATGAAATCGTGGCATGAAAGCAACATTTCTTCTCCTATTGTCATTATCTAATTTCAATACTCCAAAAGTAAATGGATGTTTTACAAATCGTTCAGGAAATTCCTCGCATTCTTGTTCGGGAATTCTCGACGAAGGTAAAAATGTTGCAAATAAATAATTACATTTCGAGCATACCATCAAGAATGAATGTTTCGAGAGTAAATGGTCGTGGACTCTTGATCCGCTGAGTGTTGTCTGTGATCCTTCTTGTGGCAGTTGTTCCGTTTTCAGAGGATGAGAATCGACAGAAGAAATGGCGAATGGTTGATTGGATGGAATGAATGTTTCATAAGAATTTAGATGAGAATCTTCAACAATTTCATTTTCAGTGATTACACGATGAGTAATTACGATTTTTCCATCATCATCTTTGTTTAATTTTGTTTCATCATTCAATGATGATAGGTTCGGAACAATGGATGAGGTATCATGATCCTCTTGCAAATCCAATGGCAAAGATAATGTAGATAAATTCGTACGTAATTGATGTTCATTGGTGGGTATTGTTGTTGTTGTTGTTGTTTGAATCCAACCATGTTCATAGGAAGCTTCCTCTTCATGAATTTTCTGCTCCAAGTGTTGGTGTTGGTGGTAACGATGAGGATGAGAATGTATTGGCCAATCATGAGAAGTGAATGTATTCGACAAGTAGGAGAAATATAAATACACTCCACTCATTCCGAGAATGATGATGATTGAAAATATTCCCACCCACAACGTGTGTGTGGATGAAGAAGATTCAAAAAGGCTTTGCATCATCTCCTTAAAATAGAAATGCATTTTTTTTCTTGAACCTTTTTGTGATATTGAGACAATAAATTAATCACTTTAATGGACATATCATTGTTGAACACAATGAAATTATCGGATTTGCTTATGGACACGATGAAATTATAGGATTTGATAAATGAATCTTATTGATAAATAATGATGGCAGATTGAGCGGCATATTGCAACAGATCGTGTTCAGCTTGACCGAGTCCAAAAGATGTCTCCAAGCTTGCACACAACATCACATTGAGGCCTTTTGGTTTGAAAATGTATAACACATGATCCACTTGAGCAAATCCAATCCTTTTCAGGAAGGAATAATGATAACGGGAAACAGAATCAAATGCAATTCCAAAATTTGATGTCACATCCTGGTTTTTTTCCAAGGTCGTCACACCATTCATTGCTTCTGCCGATAATTTATGAAGAACCATAGTTTCATAAAGACTCTTCGTTAAATTAAAATCTTCATCTGTTTTTGAACAGACTTTTTGGTAAACTATTGATAAAATTTCAACATGTTCTGTATCGGATCCTAAACATCGATCCGACCAAAAATCAGCTTCGTAGTGTGTATGAGAGCTCTTATTTACAGTTTGAATTTTCTGAATGTGTGACCATACAATTGATTTAAAACATTTGTTAATGCAACAAGTAGACACACAAATACTTACCTTTGGCTTCCAGTGTGGAGGGAGGAAAATCGTAAAGTTTTTGCTTACAGAATGTTTGACCCAATCCTTGATATGTTCATGAATGTCTAATGATGGAGTCTGATTGACGTCACTGAGCGAACCTGTAGAAACAGTCTGGCTGTTAATCTTACTTGTGGCATTCCACTGAGAAAGTTCAATCCGTTCAGGGCAATTAGAATCCTCCAGAAAATGTGCAACAGCAAAATGCTCATCTCTCTCGATTCGAATAATGACTTCCAAATATCCCACAATTTTTTCTTCCTCTTGTGACGGGAAATTTGGAGTGTTATTTGTTGAGCTATGATTGCTATTTGGAGAGCCAGCGGATTGATGATCAGCATCATCAGAATCGTCATGAGAATCTAAATCAGATTGGCTCGAGGAAACAGACGTCATTCCATTCTTACCCTTCTTGGAAGAAGAAACAGTTCTCATATTCACTTTCACTGTTTTGTCGTTATTGATAGCTAGCAAGTCGTCACCATCAATTAAGAGAGATCCTTCTGCAAGCTTTTTCTGTTTCGATAAAATCAGAATAATAACATAAAAACGTCGTCACAAGTATGTTTCCCGCAAATTTCATGCAATACTTACATCCTTTCTGAAAGATCTTGCCTCCATGAGAGTAAACCAAAATTTGAGTTGATGCAATGTCAATTCGATTTCTGGAAACACAAAATCTTGATTCCATTGATAAAGAAATTCTGTAAAATCATCACCTTGTTGCTCGTCTATAATTTGAGATTGAGAGACGGTACGTGTCATTTCCATGTCATATAAATTTTCTGTACTGTTTGGATTAGATAAAGAATAAAATTTTGTATCATCGGCCGAACTGGAGTCCTCTTCGCTATGATTCGAAGAGGTCACCACAGAGGAAACATTCTCATTCCCCAAGTCCTCACAGAAATTTTTCATTAAAAACGTTCCCCTACTTTTCACTCGTTTCATTGTATGCTTTTTGGTACATTCTCCTTTTTGAGAGCTACTTCCAGCTTGTTGTATCATGACATAGGTTTTTCGATGATCCAATCGTTCCAAACATCCGAGAGAGGGAGATGGATGAATCTGTGATTGAGAAGAAACATGAGGTAATTCCGATGATAAATGATCCAACATTGCTGTTGTTGATAAATGATGGAAATTATGGTTGGAATTATTGGTACGAGGTGAGGCTGGTGTGTTCAGAGTGGCACTCGTTGAAGCATCAGCAACTGTTGTCATGATCAACTCATCAAGCTTGGCAATGAAGTGTCCACTCAATACTCGTATTTTGATACGATCTCCTTTCGTGAAAACCATCGTGATGAATGTTGTTGTTCTTGTTGTTTCCAAGAGATGTTGAAAGTTGATGAAGAGTGTTCGGGTTGATGATGAAACGTCGTCGTCGTCGTTGTATCCAACAACCGTTCTCAGCGAGTGAGGTGATGGTGCAGAAAAGTAGCACTTCTTTTTTTTCTTTTGAATCAGACGAATTGGTTTATGAGCGCATGAATGGAGGTTTTAAGTCGGTGAAATGGACCGTCAAAATATTCGCAGCGAAAAATTAACCTTAAATACCCGTGAAAAGCGTGAGCGTGAAAAAGTGGGCACCACTGTCGGACCTGAGGTTTACAACAATTGAATTGCAGGCTTCTCATCAATAAAGAGCGAGTAATTTACATAATTTTGGAATCTTTATTCGTTTCAAGAAACAACAATGATCCACTATGAATGTTCACTTTAAAAGAAAAAAAATGAATTCTCATAATATTCGAGTCTTTCAATCGCAAGATATTTTGTGTCCAAGTGAGTTGGGTCAACCTCTTTGCAGTGCTGCTAGTGAAGGCTTATTTTGGGTGGCTTTTAGTGGAATTATCAAAGGATATGCTACTCAGACCACTCAAAAGGAATTTCAGTGCATGTATGAATTTCAGCCTTTGTGGTCCGAAGTGGATGCGATTCATTACTTGCCAGATATTCGGAGAGTCATCACAGTCGAACGAAGACTGACCACTGTTATGATGGGGAGTGGTGCTGGTGGACAACAACAACAGCAAGCAACAACACCCACCACACCATCCACTCATCATCAACGAGGAGGAAGTGGGATCAACAACCAAAATATTTCAAACACACCAAGATCACCAGCATTATCAAATGATTTTTCCAATGCTTTAAAATCTTTTTCATCAACGTCTGTTGCAACATCCAGTAATTATAATCAAAACACACAAACAATTGTCGAACAATGTTGTAGAATTTATCGATTTGAATACGATAAAAAGGAGCGAAAGACCATCATTTATCCATTTTCACTTCCGATTCAAAATTTTGTCTCTACCAATAGCACAACCACGACCACAACATTAACTCAAGCAGCGACTTCAGGTACTGCTTCAAATAGCGAGTTATTAATTTCTGTTTGCACCTATAGTAATCAATTGTTGACATGTGCAAAAGATGTTATTTCACTGTGGAAATTTACCAATAACAATGATACCCCAATTTGCATCTTAAAAGTACACACGTCATGGAATGTGAAATGTATTTCTGTATTTAACCAGTTTATTGGATATGGTACAGACAGAGATGTGAGAGTCATTGAACTCAAGCAAAAAGAACTGGAGCAAGAAAAAACACTGTTGGAAAACTCTCAAGATGATGATATCAATGTAAATAATGGAGGAAGTACTAACGGAGAAGAGACAGATGCAGCACAACCTAATTCTGTAAATATAGGAGGTAGTGTCTCTCCCAACACCTCAGATCATAGCGAGACTCAGAAAAAGAAAACCTCACGCTTTAAGGAAATTCAAAAGAGAATTCAAGCTCATGTCCAAGAACAAATTGTTGGGACAAATGCTGAGAGCCCACAATCACAAATATCACAAGGAGGAATTATTACACGTCACCAATCATTAAATCCTCTCAACAAAGGAATGGCCATGTACTGGGGCGTAAGTCAGCTTCATGAATCTATTGATGAAATTCAAATACGATTCGATATGGGAACCAAAGATTTATTACCTTCTCCTGCCACTCAGAGCTATAGTGAGTCTGTTCGTGTGAGTGACAAGACCAGTACGAAGAAGGGTACTCAACAATCTGCAACCAACATTGCTTATGATATATTTGGGCAAACTCCAACAGTGGATCATCCTGCATTTGCGAATCATAATTATATGTAAGTACAAGAAATATTATTAACATTTATTGAAACTATATTTAAACAACTACATCTCCTACCAAACATGCATTTCATTCAATCACAGTGATATTTGTGTAAATCTGCTTCACAAACATTTTACATCTGATGAAAGTCCTCGTTCCATTCATTTTCTTCAAAACATTTCACAAAAGAAAGATTTCAACCAAAACACAGGAATGAAGTGCATATTAAGCACATCAACATGTGGATACGTTTACAGTTTGTCAAGTCCTCAATCACTGCTTTGCGAATTCGAATATACCGGAGAATGTCTAATGAGTGCTGTAAATTCTCTATTTCTCTATGCCATTACTCCAGTAGGTTTGGAGGTGTGGAGTGTCTTGGGAGGTAGTAATGGGTGCTTGCTTCGTTTTCATCCGTTTATTGGATTGAAGAGCGTTTCAGCAACTAATAACCATGTCGTTCTCATCTCCAAGATAAGTAGCAACGAGAATGTTTCCATTGCAGCCTACTACAACCAACAAACAGATAAGACTGTGCTCATATCAGATATGAGAAGCGTTGAGAAGGTGAATCGAAATGCTTCGCCCTCCAAAGATTCCTCAAGAAGTGGAAGACTGTTTCCAATTTTCAATGCAAGGAAAAAAAAGAGAAGATAGTTCCTCTTCATTGCCTCCAGTCGAGGATTTTTCATATAATATTTACATGCTTAATGCAGTGGAGTTGAGTGACATTTATGAAGATATGCTTGAGCATGCAATGATGTTTCAAAAAGTGACAAATCAACCTACATGAAACTGCTAAAAGAATCGCACAGTCTTTTACAATCCAAATATTTTGAATTATTATCCAAGGAAAAGAAATTAGAAAGGTCTATCGATGTTGATACTATCACCTTGTTAAAGACAAAAATTGAGCTTCAAAATTATACGACGCTTTTGAAAAGATCCTTTGGCCTTCAAGGGGATGCTTACGTGGCCATGGAAAATACTGATTTGGCTGCTTATGCATATGCAAATAGTGACAAACCTATGGCAGATATTTTCAACAAACTTTCTGTGAGAGAAGAATCATTGCTGTTATTTTTAGAGCATATTTTGTTTGATAAGGAGAATCACTGGTCATTAGACAACCTTTCAGAAGATTTAGGAAATCAAATTCTTACTATTTACAAACAACGAATTCCTCACACGTTATCTACTGTGATATTGGCTAACAGTTTCCCTTACTCAAAGAATCATGCTCTAGCTCTATTGGAAGAAATTAATTTAGAATATGTGAAAGCTCAACAATTAACATTGTCACGATTTGAAGAACACTCGATTGAAAAGAATGATATATATCCACAACAAAATGAACAAGTCCTGTCCTGGTTTGAAATTATGCCTAAGGACGCCATGGTACTCGCATTACTTCATCTGCAAACTGGTAACGAGGAAAAAGCTGTTGCAATTTTCAAGTCCGTGGAAAGCCATATTCTTGTAGAATTTATAGTTTTAAATCCATCATTGCTGTTACCAAATGCCACCGTTGAAAAATATTCCAAGTTGGCCATTGTGTTCAGAAAGTATTTCCCTTGGTGTCTTGTTGAATCCATAAATCGACTAACAGCAAGCAATTCGTGCCCTTTAAGCAATAACCAAGTATTGGACTTACTGAAAGAAGATAATTCGCAAATTTTTGACCATGTAGAGACGCCCTTAACTTCTCTTCTTATGCAACAAACGTATCTTTCCACATGTTTAATTTCCAGTGACCTATCCAATGAATCCATGCTTAAAGAGATTGGAATCAAACTCATGCAAGTTTTTGTAGAAGAGCTCGTACATATTACCTCTCTTCTGAAAGAAACAAATATCAACGGTTTGGTCAATGAAACCAAGAAGAAAGTGTTGGAGTTGCACTCGCCAACCATGACCTCTTCCACTCAGTCCCCAATAGTCATTAGTGATTCGGGTGAAAGGTTGCAACCTCAAACCCAAAATTTATTCTCTTACATGGAGAATCTGAATGAATTGAGACAATATTGCTCATTCCTTCATTACTCGTTAATACCGTTTAGAGAAAATCTAGATTGGCTTCGAAAATTTGTGAATTACGAATTTAACAGAAATCAAACAGAGTTGAGTATTCTCTCCGAGTCGAAAGACATCTTATCAGAGAAGTATAGTGAAATTCTGAATTTTTTGGACGAACTTTCCATTTATGAAAGCACTTTACTTTCCATCACTGAAAATGATCCCTTATTCCTATTAGTTCACATCTTGCAAAATGCACAAGGATTAATCTGCTATTTTTCTCAATTCCTGTCGACCAATAGAACTGAAATATTTTCTCAATTTGTTGAAGTCATTCAGATCCATGAAGGGAAATTTATTGGCTTCGATAATTTAAAATTACTTTGCATGATGGTCTCCAAGCAATTTAAACAAGCCATTGAACGGTTATTGATCCTATTGGGTCACGGAAAACAAGAAGATGATGCTCTTGATGTATTATTTGGATTCATTGAAAGTCGCTGTAGCACTCTCAATGATTGGAAAGATGTTTTGGATTTGATCTTTTCACATTTGAGAGGGCATGAACAAGCCAATCATGATGCTTCTCATTCTGTGTCACCTATGTTTTTGTATTCACTTCTCGATAGAATTTTGAAACTTTTAGCTCATTCATGCACGCCAGATGATTTCCTTCCTCTCATTCCACGGAACGGAAGCATGAACTTTTTCTATCGCTATATTCAAATGTGCTTTTCTCACTTTTCCTTATTGACATCTCCATTCAACCACAACACCACCTACTTGACATCTTCTACCAATTCTCCGTTTGAAATTTTGTGAATGAACTCTATATTGCACATTTGAAGAAATATGTTTATATTTTTTTACTTTTTTAAACTCATCACCCACTCACCAAATTGCGACAGAATTGTCTCTACCTCTGACAATAAGGGAGAAATTGAATGAACACCTAATTTGGACCATGAAACAATTTTGCGTCTCAAACAAAAATTTCAAAAAAAGATGTTGGCTAGTGGTAAGAACAACCACAATAACAATCACTCCACACAATTATCACCAGCAAATATGTCGAGTATGCACACTAGTCATTCCTCGCAAAAGATCAATAATCGGGATTTGTTGAATTCGAACGATCAACAACAACAACAACATTCGGTTGATCACTCACATCATCATCATCATCACAGTGGTGGTCTTCATAAACATTCTCGTTCTTCCTCGAGGGATATGATGTCCGAAGTGGAGGAAGGATCCAAACGGAATAATGGTGGAACGATCATTGATAGTTTTTCGTCCTCCCTTTCAATTCCATCCATGATGCCCAATCTAAATGGTGTCACAGCAACAACCTTAGAAAATCACCTCCCTCAACGATTGAAGCTTTCACCCAACTCAGTCTATGTCACTGGTTGTAATGATCATTATCAATTAGGAACGATGGATAATGAAAAGAGAGATTCGTTTTGTGAAATGAGCTGCGGTGTGAAGAGAGGTTCTTCTCAAAAGTCCTTGGAAAAACCAAAATCATCTTCAATCGTTAGCAGCTGTTTTCTCTCGCAAGACGACAAAATCAAACGAATCAAGTGTGGACAAGACTTTACAGTTTTCCTCACACAGAAAAATCAGGTATTTGTGTTGGGTTCTAACACCAATGGTCAAATTGGACTTGCAAAAGATATACATCACGTCAAAACACCAGCAAGGCTCACTGCTTTTGATGAAATGGAGGTATTGAGTTTGTCAAGAAGCAGCTCATTAAGTGTTGCTGGTGGTCAAGAAGACACTTCAGGCTCCAGCGCTGCTTCTACCGTTCAATTGGATGACTCTGAGGAACTACTGCAAAAGTCCACATCCTCTTCTTCGTCAAATTCCGAGTACGGAGAAGGTCAAATCGCAAATGTATATTGTGGTGCTGAATTTACCATTTTCTTGATGCGAGATGGAAGAGTGTACGGTACAGGATCGAATATTTCTGGACAATTAGTAAGTGTTGTGATTGATTTCAAGTGTTTCATCCATATTGATATATCTTTGATAGGGCAAACCAATTTCAGCTTCATTAGAAAATAATGCAAACATTTTCTTTGAACCTGTTCCTTTAACGATGACCACTCCTCCACCAGCTGGTACGGCAACTGCTATCGTTGCTGCATCACACAACAATGGTGCGAGTGGATTTAATGCCACCAACACCACAACTCCCTCAGCAACTGTTGAATTATCTGGCATTTCCAAAGTAGCTGTTGGAAGGACTCACTCCATATTCATCACAGAAGACGGTCATGTTTATGCTTGTGGGTACGTACTGATAACATTTTAAAAGTTGTTTTTTAAACTTTTACAAATTTTTGTAGATTGAATGAAATGGGGCAATTAGGTCTTGGTACCAGATCCAGAAATGAGCCGTACATTCAATTAATTCAGGAATTGAATGATTTTGAAATTAGAAAAGCTGCTTGTGGAGCTGAACATTCCTTGTTTCTAACTACGACAGGAGACCTTTACGCCACAGGATCAAATCAATTCGGGCAACTTGGCATTTCTAATCCTCAGGTACATTTTAAACAAAGTCCAGTGTTGGTATGTCAGACAGATAGCGATGTGACAGAATTCAACAAACAAAATGCCTCAAATTCCGATGCAACCACCAAGAATGATCCAGAGGCCACCACATCGACTAGTTCTGTAACAAGCAAACAGAACAATAAGACAGCCATTGATCAATCCAAGAACGCGAAGAACCAAAACGGTATTCCAGAATTGCCAAGCGGAAACAAATCTTTACTTGGAAGTGTCAAGAAAATCAAATGTGGCCTCTATCATTCGGTCATTATGAACAAACACTTTGACATTTTTGTTTTTGGATGTAATAATGAAGGACAATGCGGATTGCCATTTGCATCAACAACAGAACGAAAATTAACCACAACTAGAAACATTTACACACCCACAAAATTGGTGATCATGGAAGCTGGTTTGGACTATGTTGATCGAATTCGTTGTGGATACAAACATACCACCTTTTTAACTCATCGATATGACATCTATCAATGTGGAAGCAATGAGCTAGGCCAATTAGGATTGCCAGACGATGAAGAAGCAATTTATGTAAGCACACCCACAAAGGTCACCTTGATCAATGACACCAATATTCCAATCAATGCCACCAGTGGACCCTATTCAACCATTCTCTTCACTGGTGACGATAGCAAACCAAAATTCTCCATTTCTAAGCAATTGAAGCAAAACCATGCTGCTAGAGATCGAGTGTTCCAAACCAACATGTATGCCTTCATGCCACTTGTTCGACTGGTCTCACCCTTCTTAGAGTCCATGCTTAAAAATTCTGAATTTATGGGAAAGCTTGATGCAAATGACCAATTATACATGCAACGAATGATTAACACGTGTTATGACCGATCTGAGATTGCTTTCGTTAGAGAGATGGATTGTAAGGCAGTTGTTAAACTTTTGAGATGGCTTCATGACTACAATTCTGTTGATGAGACGGTTGTCCAATTACGAAAAAAGCTCTATGAGCGTTTTGAGGAAACACTCAAATATAACAACATTTTAGACATTTTGGAAATTATTGAAATGAAATTGGAACAATGTAACAACAAGGACAAAGGCGTCCTAACGACATGTAGAGCCAAATGTTATGCCATACTTCATGAATTGAACGAAAAGTTGCTTGAAAACTCAGTTGCAAAAACTGACGAAATTGAGGCCATCACAAGTGACATTCGATTCGAACTTTTCCTCAAGCAAGTACCAGAGTGGAATAAGCGATCGAATACCATCACATGGAATGAGGAAAGAAGAAGACAATCCCGTGTTGGAATTGATATTTGTAATCCTTTACAACTTCTCTATGATGATCCCTTTGGTGACATTATTCTCTTTCTCGATAAGGCACATACGAAGAAAATCAAAGCTCACAAAACCATCCTTAGTTGCGCGAGTGCTTACTTGGCTCATCGAATCGAAAGGGAGGAACAAGCTACTTCCCCTCGTTCGAGCGGCTATCCCATGACTATGGACATGTATGACGCCACTTGTTCTTCAGATCAAATCAATAATAATAATAATGAGAAAGAGCAAGCCATTAGAATTGAAGCCCTAGAATGCACTATCAAGTACATGTATGATGCCTTGGATCAATCCTCACAAATCACTCAATTACTGGTTCCTATTATGGAAATTGCATGGAAATTCCAAATGAAAAACCTTCAAGATTATTGTCTCTCCTCACTCGATGCTAATCTGTGCGTGGATAACTTTGTGTCAGTTCTCAAATGGGCAAATCCTTATCGAAACAGTCAACCTTTAAAACCAATAATTTCAAAGATTATTTCATTTGGAGCCAATAATTGGGAAAAAATCATTTCACATTTCAAGGAAGATCAAGATTGGCAAGATGTTTCTCCAGCGTTGATCATTCGAATTAATCGACAATGGATGCAAAATCAAGAGCGGTTTATTTCTAACACCACTACCAACTCAACAAACAATATTCCTTCCTTGCATTTGGTGCATCATCACCATCATCACCACAATCAACATCATCACAATAATCAACAACATTCCAGTCAGTCCTCTCTGAAAAGAAAGTAAAAACATGTTTGAAGATCCTAAGATGATATCATTTTGTGTTTATTAAATCCTTAGACTTCACACTACTATTTTCAACAACCCAGCAACAGACCACAACAATCTGATCTCACAAATTGTTGACAACAAATCAAGCATGCTTGGATATCAGAAAGAGCAACCTTCTTTCCTCTTCATGTGAGCTTTAAACAAGTCAATGCGCATTACTTGACCTGAATGGTCAAGGGATGATCGTTACCTGCAAAACAGGACTCCATCGCACATTCCATTCCAATGAAATCAGGAAGACCGGTGTCCATACCGTTCAACGTAAATCTGTACAAACCGTACACAATTGTCACATTCGGTCGAAGATGATGGGTTCAACTTGTTCTTGATTTCCTTTCAGTATGGGTCGGCAGTTCCGCAACAAATCGACCCACCGAACACCACCAATTTTGATTCGGAATATAACAATTCTTTTTACGACCACCACCACAAAAAAGAATCTCCCAACTGATCAATCCTCTTCTCGTGACAACACCCTCTTCGCTACCACTCATGTCCAATTACATGAAAACCAACAATCACTTGGACTATGAAAGTTATCAACAACATCCATCAAACAACGAATGGTCATGACTGTACAACAAACTCAAATGACATTAGTAATAGTATACCTTCTTCACCAAATCGCAACAACTGTCATTTCAGTTGTCGAAGCGGTGGTCAGAATCAATGTCATGACTCGCATGATGATGTTTCAACAAGCACAAAATCATTAGCATCACTTCACCACGCAATCATCCTATTCATCAAACAAAAGTCGGTTAAGAAAAGATCTTCTTCTTCGCCGAATATTGGCCAAAGTGAAAACTCTCAAAAGACCATCATGATGAATCAACATTCCTTTCAACAAAATGTTACTCCTCTCTGTATTGATAAGGAATTCTTGAATCATGTGTTAAAGAAACGAGGCAATGACAATTCATGGTTTTTGGTGCTTTGTGTCCTTCCTCAACTTGTGGCTCTCACGACACCGAACGACCATGTTCTACTTTTTTTGGTAATTTCCATTTAGAATTAGTGTGTCAGGCCATGCTTGGCTCTCTCAAAATCTCGACACTGAAAGGATTAATTTATTCCAATGTGGTACGAGTCGCATTGATGGTTATGACCATGTTTTTCGTTCAAATGTATTATGGACCTCTATTTCCTTATCATCTCGTATCGACCTTTAAGATTTTACTTCTCTCGCGTCACATCTTTT